ATGAATGTACAAATGTGCTTTATACAATTGATGTATGTATGGATTGTGATAAGAGTTGTATGATCCCCTTTAAAAAAAAAAAAAGAAACATCAGATCCTGGAGACAGAAGTCAAGAGCTGACAGATGCTAAGAGAATATCCAGTGTAAATCTCATATTAAAAAGGATTCCTGAGTGCCCTGTCTCTCATAGATAGGCCCTCCAGCCTTTGCTTGAATACCTTGGTTAAGAGGAAACTTAAGAATACCATCCTGCTATTGAAAACTTGACATTATTTAAAGTTTCTTTACCTTGAGTCAAACTATCCCTCCTCTCCTCGGCGTGGTCTCCCCTTGAGGCTTCCGCTCGCATGCCTCCCAGCCTTGACTCCCTTTAGAGGACTACCACAACCAGGCCTATCGGCTTGCTCGCTAGTGTGGCCTGCAACCCTGGGAAAGGATGGAGATCAGAAAGCTGCTGGGCCCAAACCCCCCAAACATGGATAAATATAAAGTCCTGCATGCAAATGAGAACCCCGATAGTACAGAATGAGGTTCACATTAGAGATTTCAGGGCTCTGTTTAACCCTAAATGTACTGCGAGTTGATAAGGCATAGCAAGGATATGTGGCATAAATAGTAAATGCTGACGCCATGGACATTCTCCTGTGTGTCCAGTATGTCAGACTGCAGCTGGACAAGAACAGCCATGCAGGGAGGGGAGGGGCCTGAAAGCCAGGGCCCCCAGTGGACCACAGTGGGCAGCTGGGGAAATTGGGCTGGAGCCGGGAAGGCTCCTGTCTTTAAGCGGGAGAAAGATTTGGGAAGAGCTACCTGATTTGTTCTTGCTATCATCAAAGCACAGACCTGGGAAGCTTTAGGAGAGAAAAACAAGCATTGGTTCTGGTGGAGCCAACTGTATTTCTGAGATCTATACAAGGCCCCATGGTCTTAGCTTTGTCCTAGAAAATACTGGTTTCTAACTCTTATCTATGGGGGTATGGAATCAGATGCTGATTTCTAGGTAATGCTTAGAAGGGAAAACTTTATTTTATATATTATATATAGTTTTTAAATTTTTTTATATATTACAGTTTTATTGGCACTTCTAGCTATCATACAATTCAACAGTCCAGTCATATCAAGAAGAGTTGTAAAGTCATTACCACAGTCAATTTTAGCACATTTTCTTTTTCATTGTATCCATTATTAGTATCATTATTATTTATTTTAACGGTGGCAAAAATATACTCAATACACATTCTCCAATTCCGCACCTTCTATATATATATTCCAGTGCCATTGATAGTACTCTGTTATACAACCATTGTTGGTATCCTTTTCTAAATTATCCCAGCCATTAAATTAAACTCAATGCTCCCTAAGCACACACTCTTCCTCCTTCACCCATGGGAGCCACCGGTCAACTGTGGAGTCTCTTTTTTCAGTAGTTTTCCTGATATAAAAATATACTTACATTGTTCAGTCACTTGTAGAAAGAGTTGTAAATATATCATCACAATCAGTTCTAGTGCTCCCTCCTGCTCCTGCATTCATTGTTAGCTCCCCCATTCCCCTGACCCTCCCCAACCCGTCCCCGATAAACCATTGCATTGGTTTTTGTCTATTCATCCATTCCTTCTTTGTTTCATAAAGTGGGAGAACTAACACAAACAATTTAAAAAATGAAGCAGAAAGAGGAAGGTAATAATACTATAAAGATAAAAATAAAGTGTAAGAAAGAAAAGACCACCAACAATATTTTAAAAGCCAAAGAGAAAATTTCTGTTGCACAACAAATGAGAAATATTTAAGCCTAGAGCAAATTTAGATTGGGTCAAGAGGGAGGTCGACTGGCCCAATATCATATGATGCCACAGTTGGAACCACCATCATCAAGTTCACAGTCATCTCTGTCTAATAGGAAAGCTGGTCCAGTCCCTCGCCTGTGGGCAGAGGGCATCTGCCAGAGACTGAGTCTAATTAGATACTCTGCAGTTGGATTTGGGGGCTCTCACTGCCCTTCTTAGTCTTAGAGAATTTGGGTGTTCACAATTTAAGGTCTGATGTTTTTCCAGAAGATGAAAATTTTAAAATTCATTTGCAGAAGAATAACTAGAGAACAGCTCCCCTGAGAAGCCTGCCAAAGAGTGGGATTTTCCCAAGCATGGTAGCCAAGCAGTGAGTCAGTGTACTTCCATGTGTCAGAAACCAGCATCTGACCCCAGACACAAGACCCTACTTGCTACTGTGGGGGGCAATGGAAAGGACACTGACTTGGGGGCCAGGCAGAGCTTGGCTTGAAGTCTGGCTGTGCCATTTACTGGGTCTGTGACTTTGGGTAACTGGATGGATCTTTCTTGACCTTGGTTTACCTGGCTGTGAAATGGAACGATTAAGTTTTACTTCTTTGGGTCATTGTGAAGGTTAAACTAAGGTAACCATTACAAAGCCCCTGGCATATAAGTAGGCGTTTATAAATGTTAGAGTTCTTCCTTACCCTACTGTACTCCTGTGATTCCAAATATACCTATTATAAGGAAGCTTTTTTCCCCCTCCCCCAGGGCCTCCTTCTGAACTCTCCCCTGCTGGTGAGGAGGAAGAGTCCAAGAGTGGCTTGGATGTCATGCCCAATATTTCTGACGTGCTGCTGCGCAAACTGAGGGTCCACAAATCTCTCCCTGGAAGGTAAAACCAGGTGTGGGCTGCAGTGGAGCCTGTAGTGGGTGGTCCCTGTGATACAGTCCAGGTAGGACACTGAGCAGCATGAGCCTGGGTCCCTGACCCCAGAAGGGCCACTGTCTAGCGATCCTGAAAGAGCTAATTCACCCAAAGCAAAAAGAATAATGAAAATCCAGGTGGGATAGTTCAACTCAAAGAGCAGGCAGGACATGTAGATGGACACAAAGGTCCTTGGAGAGCCATGGCAGGAAAGGATGGTGGGCTTTGGGCCAGGAAATGGAGATTTCTTTCTTTTTAATTGAGTTTTTGGTGAATGTTTATGACAGATTTCAATTCCAGGTGTGCCCTTTTCCTGTATCTGGGAGCCCTTCGGTCAGTTATCTACAAAGAGAGAGATACAGAGCCGTGGGGACCACATAGAGGAGCCGTGGTTGCTTCTGCACTGTGATCTAAAACAGAGTTCTCAGGCCCATGGCCAGGTGTCTGCATAGCTGGAGAGATAGAACACTGGAGACCACATGGAAGAGGGTTGCATGGAATCCCTGCCAGGTTTTTTCCACACACGAGGGGAAAGTGGCCTTGTTTTTAAGCCTGCACATCCTCCTGTGCGCTACAGGGGTCATAATCCTGCAGTCACGGGGTGGGGCTTGAGTGGGCTCAATGGGTCAGGGTGAGCAATGGCCCTTAGACAGTGGCAGCACTAACAGGCCTGGATCCCTGCACTGAAAAGCGAACCATTTGGAATATAAAGGAAAAGAGAGGAGCCCGCTAAACAATAGGGCCAGAGCAGGAAAGTGCCGGTGAGACCTATAGCCAAGTCTCACAAGCTCAAGACTGAGTGGGGAATGCTATGGATAGGACAAGTCAGGCAGGACAGAGCTCCCAGGTTTTGGGGGTAAATATGAAGGAGCAGATTTTGCCCAGTGGTTGTGGTCTGTGCATATTCCACACCGTAATCTAACTTAGAGTCACCAGGCAATACTAGGAGGGACCGAGCAATAAAGTGAACATCAGGAGATAGTGAGAAACACAGGAGGCGCAGGCAGCACCCCAGCGGGGAGAGGGTGTGGGCTGGGTGGGCGCACGTGAGGAAAGGCAGAGAGGGGTGTCCAGAGGCAGGGAACCCAAGGGGAGGCATGCACGAGAGCTGCAGGTTACAGAGCACGCATAGCAGCTGTGGGTTTCTGAAAAGAAAAATTCTGTTGTCTTTCACTTTGTCCTTACTGAAGGTTCAGAGGGATGAAGCAACTTGCTGAAGAAAGACAGACAGAAGTTGAACTCAGATCACGCTGTTCCCAGATGTAATGCACTTTCCGGTCTTACTAGGGGCCTGTAACAACACCCAGCTACGGTGGGAGCTCTGTAGTCTGCAAGAGCGGGGCTTGTTCGGAGCGTGCTTGGCTGCTTGTTGTGCAATTAAGTTGAAGATGATTTGTCCAATTAGAGGGGACTTCGCCAGCCAGTTAAATGCCCTCAGTTCCATCTTCTTGGACTTTATTTGAAGATGCTGTGAAGCAGGGCTGGCTCATGGAGGGTCTGGATTTTATTCTATTAAAGGAATTTGAATCCTGAGACAAGTATGACCACCCAGAATAGTTTCTTTGTACAAAACTTGCTAGACCTCTGTCTTTCTGGAGTCCACGGCTCTGCCCCGCTGCCCCTACTGGCCTAAGCCAGTTTTTAAGGGAGAGGTCTCAGTCAGCCATGCCCTAAATCCCATCTCCCTGAGTCCTTGGGGCTTCCTACATCAGAACCAAACAAAGCAACCCTTAAGTTCTATGGCAGGGCGTCCTGGTGGTGCTGTTGGGGAAGTGGCTCTGCCGGAGAAAGAGGACTACCTGTTCCTATTAAGATTCATAGCCTTAGAAATCCCATCCAGGGTCGCTGTGAGTTGGAGTTGACCCTATGGCAGTGGTTTTTATATTCTGTAGCAAAAAACAAAGTAATGAATCATCAACTTCAGAAAAAAAGAAGCCTGGTTAATAATTTAGGGAAGCAGGTGCGCTGTGCATCACCTCCAAACAAACCCAGGAGTCCGAGGCAAACTCGGCTGGTGTTGATCAACCATTCAAACAGCACGCGGATGTCTAAATGGCAGTTAAGGTGATGTTCCCCTGCAAAGAGTCTGGCAGGGAGAGTCATGGGGAGAATTACAGCCCTCGGACGTGTTTGTGCTGGTTTATCCCATGGCCTGTCCTCTGCTGACTGGCTGGCCCCAGGGTTCAGTGGCCTCATCCTGACAGGAAGGTTCTCACAGGGGTGAGAACCCGCCCCTTGCAGAGCTGCCTGACCCTTCCCTTTGCTCCCAGGGTCCCTCTACACCTGTCAGAGGAAGGAAGCTGGGTTTCCTGAGTCTTCTTGATGGCAGCCTCTGTTGCCAAGTCTTATGACGTGGGCAGGACCCCTCCCAACCCGCCCTGCCCA